GCCTGTAATCCCAGCGACTCAGGAGGTTGAGGCAGGAGAATTGCCTGAACCCAGGAGGCGGAGGTTGCGGTGAGCCGAGATCGCGCCATTGCACTCCAGCCTGGGTGACAAGAGCGAAACTCCATCTCAAAAAAAAAAAAACAAAGTTCTTTTTCATCATACCTTCCTTTAGCGACGAATGGCTCATTTCAAACTTAGAAATATATTGCCCAAGAGATACACAGCTATCAGAACAAAACAAACTGAACTTTCTTTTACAGGCCTGACTTAAGGCTTCTGCTCCAAGATGCTAAGAAGACTGCATTGATTCTCTTCTCAGGTTGCAGAAGCTTTTTGTTGTTGTTGAGACGGAGTCTCGCTCTGTCACCCAGGCTGGAGTACAGTGGCGTGATCTCGGCTCATTGCAACCTCTGCCTTCCAGGTTCAAGTGATTCTCCTGCCTCAGCCTCCCAAGTACCTGGGACTACAGGCACGCGTCACCATGCCCAGCTAATTTTTTGTATTTTTAGTAGAGACGGGGTTTCACCATGTTGGCCAAGATGGTCTTGATCTCTTGACCTCGTGATCCACCCTCCTCAGCCTCCCAGAGTGCTGGGATTACAGGCTTGAGCCACCGCACCCAGCCCAATTTATTTATTCATTTATCTAATATTTTTGAGCACCTACAACGATTTGGTGTTGTTTTGTCATTAGAATACACCAGTGAACCAAATAAAACCTAGTTCTCTTGGATCTTATAATCTTGTATGGGAAGAGAAACAATAAAGAAACAAAACAGTATGTAACATGTCCAATGGCTAAGAAGAAAAATAATTTGGCCCGGCACGGTAGCTCCCGCCTATAATCCTAGCACTTTGGGAGGCTGAGGGGAGGATCACCTGAGGTCAGGAGTTCAAGACCAGCCTGGCCATCATGGTGAAACCCCATTTAAAAAAAAAAAAAAAAAAAGAAGAAGAAAAATAATTCAGGGTAAAGAAAAAGGGAGTCCCTGGAACAGGGGTTCTCTTTAGGTAGAATTTTCAGGGAAGTCCCTCTGATGAAGTGACACTTGAAGGAAGATAGGAGTAGAGAGGAGTGGGCCATGCTGGTGTCTGGGAGAAGAAGGTTCCAGGCAGAAGGAGAAGCCACAACTCTGAAGGAGGGGTGTACATGGTGTTTGGGTAATAGTCGGAAGACCTGTGTGCTGGAGTGCGGTGAGCAAGGGGGAGAAGGGTAGGAAATTAGGTCACACGCGCAGCCAGGGACCAGATCATTAACCACCTTGTTGGCCACAGGACAGATTTTGGATTTTGTTGAGTTCAGGCTATGTGTCCTTAATATAAGTCAAGACTTATATTGTCAAGTTCAGCATTGTAACTTGACTTATAAGTCAAGTTCAGCGTTGACGCCCTCACCCCTCCCCAGGTCTTGGAAAAGGTGAGGCTGGCCCATGTAGGGAGGAGAGGGGGCAGTAGTTCTATCTTTGTGAGTCTCGGGCCAACAACACATCACTGTTTCTTCCTTAACTCTCCCTTCTCAGGACTTTGCTCTTTTTCAGAAGAGAAAACTGAAGAAGGAGGAATGGCCGTGGGACTTTGTAAAGCCATGTCCCAGGTAAGCTGATCTTTCACTTTGTTTTCAGCCATTTGACCTCATCTTTCAGGACTTTGGGACCACAAGGAAAGTCATGAATAGCCCAACGAACATCTGCTTCACTTTTCTCTGTCCACCTTTTTGTTCATATAATCCTTCTGCAAGACATTAACTGTCTTTTTTTCTCAGCGTTATGCTCAAATGTGTGATGGGGCAGAGCTATCCTATTTAGATGAATGATGATTTGTTGAGTTGGCCGTGAGTGCAAGTGAAATAAGGGATAGAGTTGGATTACTGAGTGACCTATTAAATAGGGAGGCTGAGGATGACCTCTCTGAGGACGTGATATTTAGCAAAGTAAAACTTCAGTGAAAGTAGCAAGTAAGTTTTGTGGAGATCTGGGGAGAGCTTTAAAAGAAGGAGTACAAAGTTATTATGGTGGGAATGTGCTTGGTGTGTTCCAGGAATAGCAATGAGTCTGTCCTGGGAGGGAAATGAGCACTGTGATGTCAGAGCTATAGCTGGGGACCAAATCAGGTAGGTCCTTACAAGTCGGCTTAGAGCTGTAAATTATCTGCACTTTGAATTTTATTCTAAGAATTTTTATTCTAAGAACAGCCATTGGAACATTTGTGATCTAATTTGATTTATGCCTTAAAATGAAAATAGGTAGCGGAGAAGTAAAGGTGGAAGCAAGGAGGCCAGTTAGGAGACTTAAATAATCCAGATGGGAGGTGATAGTGGCCTGAACCGTGGTGGTGGCATTGGAGTAGGGAGACTCTGGGTATACAATGGAGATAGAAAATGCGGGTTGATCAAGGATTAGTTGCGGTGTGTGAGAGGAGGAAAGAAGTCAGCACGACTACAGAGGTTTTTGGCTAGGCAGCTACATGAATGGGCATGCCATTTACTGAGCTGGAAAGACAGTGTGAAGTGAGATGGACATCAGTAATTGAGTTCTGGATATATTTAGAGACCTTTTGGATATCCAAATGGAATGCTGATCATACATCTGGAGTCAGGACTAGAGATGTGAATTTGAGAGTCCTTAGTGTTTTTTCTTTTCTTTTCTTTTTGAGATGACATCTCACTCTGTCACCAGGCTGGAGTGCAGTGGCGCTATCTCGGCCCACTGCAACCTCCGCCTCCTGGGTTCAAGTGATTCTGCTGCCTCAGCTCCCCGAATAGCTGGGACTACAGGCACGCACCACTATGCCAGCTAATTTTTGTATTTTTAGTAGAGACGGGTGTCACCATATTGGCCAGGATGGTCTCAATCTCCTGACCCTGTGATCCGCCCACCTTGGCTTCCCAAAGTGCTGGGATTACAGGGGTAAGCCACTGAACCCGGCCGTCTGCACCCAGCTGTCATTAGTGTATTTAAAGCATGAGACAGAATGAGATTATCATCAGGGCAAGGCTGTGGTGAATGTAGATAGGAAAGAGGTGGAAGGACTGAGTTTAGGATGTTCAATATTTAGAGGCACACAAGAGGAGGAACCAGCGAAAGAGATTGAGAAGAGCTGATGGAAAAGGAAAACCAGAAGAGTGTGGGCTCTGGAAGTGAAGAGTCAGTGTTTTAAGGATGGATGATCAACTGAGTTAAGCTCTTCTGAGAGGCTGAGGAAGATGAAGACTGAGAATTTGTTAACATGAGATGCTCTTGACAAGAGCTACTTCATGGAGTAACTAGGATGAAGACATCATTGTGGTGGGTTTAAGGGAGAATGGAGGCTGGCTGTGGTGGCTTATGGCTGTAATCCCAGTAATTTGGGGGGTCAAGATGGTGGGACCATCACCTGAGCCCAGGAATTCAAGAGCAGCTATGTATGTAGGGCAACAGAGGGAGACTCCATCTCTAAAAAAATCTTTAAAAACTAAGATCCAAAAACAGCCCGGCATGGTGGCAGTTGCCTATGGTCCCAGCTGCTTGGGAGACTGAGGTGGGAGGATCGCTTGAGCCCAGCAGTTGGAGACAGCAGGGAGCTATGATTGTGATGCCGCATTCCAGCCTGTGCAACAGAAACAGAGTGAGACCCTGTTTCTAAAAAAAAAAAAATCCAGGTGTGGTGGCTCACGCCTGTAATCCCAGCATTTTAGGAAGCCAAGGCAGGTGGATCACCTGAGGCCAGGAGTTCAAGACCAGCCTGGCCAACAAGGTGAAACCTCATCTCTATTAATAATACAAAAATAGCCAGGCATGGTAGCACATGCCTGTAATCCCAGCTACTCAGGAGGCTGAGGCAGGAGAATTGCTTGAACCCAGGAGACAGAGGTCGCAGTGAGCCGAGATCGTGCCATTGCACTCCAGCCTGGGCGACAAGAGTGAAACTCCGTCTCCAAAAAAAAAACCAGGCAGAAAAAAGAGAATGGAAAATGAGGAAGGTGAGAACAAAGACAGTTAATTTAGACTTACAATAGTGTACCAGTAGGCACATGTGACTACTCCAAATTGTGATATGCTATAAGTCCAAAGTATATACCAGATTTTGAAGATTCAGTACAAAAAAGAATGTAAGCTATCTGATTAATTTTTTATATTGATTACATGTTGAAATGATAATGTTGTAGATATCTTGGGTTAAATAAAAATGATATTTTTTAATATATTTTTTTCTTGTGTCCACTGGAAAGTTTCAAATGACATGTGTGGCTCAAATATTTCTGGTGGATCACACCGGTTTAGACAACTCATCAGAAGAGTTTTGTTATTAAGAGGAGTAGAGAAATAGGATAATCCCTAGAGTGAGATCATGGAAGGGGATTTATTTATTTATTTTTCTGTGCATTTATTTACAAGATGGGAGATATTACATCAGCTTTTTTGTTTATTGGAATGAGCCAGTAAAGTGAAAATAGTTGGGAGTACAAGGGAGAGAGGTGAAAATGTCTTTAGGTGGGCAAGTGGAGGGACTGGTCTTCGAAGCCTAGAGTTTTATCCGTAGTCACAGAGGGAAGACAGAAGATACAGGTAACAGTACAGATACAGAAGGGTACGGACATGTGGTGGCGGGAGGGTGAGAATGTTCAAAGTGAGAACTGGATGAGTGGATGGTGGTTTGAGAAAGAGTTATGAAATAGTTACCAGGAGGGGGGAGAGTGAATTTATTAGAGAGGCGTAGTAGAGAGGTTTTGCAGTGCTTTTGAGGACTCTCTGGCCATCTTCGAGAAGTACTTTGTGTCAACATGTTTTATCAGTCAGGGTTCTAGCAAGGCAATCAAAAGGCGACTATTTACAAGATATTATCAGGACATAGAGAAACTATGAAAGATCATGCTGTACTCCAGAGCTCATAACAGCATAACCTCTTACTAACCCTAGACCTGAAACCAGAGACAGAGAGCTAGGTTGTGGGGCGGGGGGGCCCTGACAAGTGCTCTGAGCTTTGATTGAAAGACAACACCCAGGGTAACACTCCCACTCAGGGAGGGAGCCAGGAGAATAAGTATTTTGCCTGACTTACCTTCCTTTCATCTCTTGCTTGTGGCTGAACCCAACAGAATATGGGATAGGACAGGGGAGTTGATTGATGTAGTCAGCCTCCTAGGACTCAGAGAAGAGTCGAGGGGCACTTGGAAGTTATATGACACTACGTAGTTGTGTAATTTTTTTCCCTAGACACATTCAGCTGTATTTTCACTATGTAGAATAACCATATTTTGTATTTCTTTTTTTTAATTTGAGATGGAGTCTCACTCTGTCACCCAGCTGGAGTGCAATGGCACAATCTCCACTAACTGCAGCCTCCTCCTCCCAAGTTCAAGCAATTCTCATGCCTCAGCCTCCTGATTAGTTGGGACTACAGGTGCAAACCATCATTCCCAGCTAATTTTTGTATTTTTAGTAGAGACAGGGTTTCACCATTTTGGCCAGGCTGGTCTCAAACTCCTGACCTCAGGTGACCCACCTGCCTTGGCTTCCCAAAGTGCTGGGATTGCAGGCGTGACCTCCTGTGCCCAGCCTGATAGTTAAGAGAACATACTGTACAGACTGGAACCCTATCATTTTTAAGCACTGAATATTCTTCCTTCAAATGGGTGTTTTACAGGAAACATCACCATTTATTCCCTGAGTAGCAAATATGTTGGGGGAAGCAGCAATGGAGGAATAAACTGGTTATAAATAATGTATAAAAGAAATCAGGAACAATAAACTTCGGAAGGCCGTGGAGGCCTCTAGGGAGGAAGGCCTCTCTATGCCAGCATGTTCCCAGGAACAGAGTGACCCAAGCTCTGATATTCTAAACATAGTGCCCATGGACATAACACTCCCTTGAAGCAGTGGAATGTAAGCAGACATCTAGGCTCCTTGCTAAGCCTGCTCCCACCAGCTGCACTGTCTGTTGATAAGCATATGCTTTTAGTTCTACAGAAACTCACATAAACCGCCACTGCTATGAATTTTATGTTTGATGCACAGCCTCCCTTTACCGATTCACCCTGCCACCTGCACCATGGATAAAAGTGACCGTGTTCAATAAATATTGTGGAAACCAGAGGTCGGGCCTTCACTGCCTTCAGTAAAAAGTGATGGTCCTCTGGTCCCACTTTCATTCTTTTTTTTTTTTTTTTGAG